GGCCCCATGTGGGAGGTGGGGTGGGGTCTGGCGGCCCTATAGCGGGACCGCGTGGCGTTCTCGGTGACCCTACGGAAGGGATAGGGTGGCGTTCTCGGTGGCCCGATGGTGAAGGCGGGGCGATGTTCTAGGTGATCCTATAGCAAGGGCAGGGTGACCTTGGTGGCCCTATAGAAAGGACAGGGTGACCTTGGCGGCCCTATAGCGAGGACAGGGTGACCTTCTTGGTGGTCCTGTAGAAAGGATAGGGTGATGTTTTAGGTGGTCCTATAGAAGAACGTGATGATGTTCTAGATAGCCCTATAGTACGGCCATGGCGATGTTCTAGGTGACCCTATAGGGAAGCCAGGTGGTGGTCCTAGGTGACCCTACAGCCAAAACAAGGTGATGTTTAGGTGACGCCATACCCGCGGCAAAGTGACCCCTACAGCCAGGAGAAGGAGACGTTCTAGGTCGCCCTATAGCCAGGACGAAACGACGAGCCCCACGGCGGTCGGGGTGACCCCGCCCCCGCCCCCTCTGTAGGAAACCGGAGAAGGGGATCCAGTACCTGATCGAGAGGGGCTTCCTCTCGGACACCCCGGTGGGGGTGGCCCACTTCATCCTGGAGAGGAAAGGGTTGAGCCGGCAGATGATCGGCGAGTTCCTCGGCAATCGCCAGAAGCAGTTCAACCGCGACGTCCTCGAGTAAGGGGCGGGGGGGGACGGGACGGGACGCACCGGGATGGGGTGGGACATGCCGGGACTTGGGGGGCGTGTCCATCCCCCCCCCCCCCCCCCGGGCCCCGGCCGTTTCTGGTCTGGGGTGGGGTGGGGGGGTCTCCCACAGCTGCGTGGTGGACGAGATGGACTTCTCTGGGATGGAGCTGGACGAGGCCCTGCGCAAGTTCCAGTCCCACATTCGGGTGCAGGGGGAGGCCCAGAAGGTCGAGCGCTTGATCGAGGCCTTCAGGTGAGGGGGCGGCGATGGGTCCCCTGTCCCCGTCCCATCTCCCCCTGGCGCCGGGAAGGCCACCGAGCCACGACACGTGGTCGCGCGGTCGCCGTGGCGTGGTGTTCTAGGTGACCCTGTGGATCACTAGGGGCGGTGGCCCACGTGCCGTGGCGTGATGTTCTAGGTGACCCCACGGACCAAGCAGGGGGACATTGGGGGTGGTGGCCCACATGGGACCAGGTGATGTTCTAGGTGACCCTATGGACCAAGCAGGGGAACATCGGGGTGGTGGCCCACATGGGACCAGGTGATGTTCTAGGTGACCCTGTAGACTAGGAGAACGTTAGAGGTGGTGTCCCGCACGCAAGGGGGCCTGGACCACGCCGGGACTGCTACGGGGTGCAGAGGCCATCCCGGCCGCGTGGGGATGGCCGTGGGGCACCCTGACCCCATGGGCCGTGGGGATTGTCCGCCCCGCAGCCAGCGCTACTGCGTGTGTAACGCGGCCCTGCTGCGCCAGTTCCGCAATCCGGACACCATCTTCATCCTGGCCTTCGCCATCATCCTCCTCAACACCGACATGTACAGCCCCAGCGTCAAGGCCGAGCGCAAGATGAAGCTGGAGGACTTCATCAAGAACCTCCGAGGTGAGGACCGCGGTCCCATCTTGTCCTCCCTTGGTGTCCCCGCCCCCTGCTTCTGAACGCGGGTTCTAGAGCGGGGGCCCGGGTGTCGTGCAGGGGTGGACAACGGGGAGGACATCCCCCGGGACATGCTGGTGGGCATCTACCAGCGCATCCAGAGCCGGGAGCTGCGCACCAACGACGACCACGTCTCCCAGGTCCAGGCCGTCGAGCGCATGATCGTCGGCAAGAAGCCGGTGGGTTCACCCGAGGGATGGGGCGGGTTCTAGGGGACCCAGGGGGGAATGTTCTAGGTGACCCTACGGAGGGATGGTCTAGGTGACCCTATGGAGGATGCTCTAGGTGACCCTATGGGAGACGTCCTAGGTGACCCTGTGGGGGGATGTTCTACGTGACCTACGGGGGACGCTCAAGGTGACCAATGGGGGATGTTCTAGGTGATCCAATGGGGGATATTATAGGTGACACAATAGGGGGGTGCTCTAGGTGACCCACAGGCCAACGTCAAGGGTGCCGTCACCCTCAAGGGGCGGGCCTGGAAGGCGGGTGGGTGTGTCCCGCCGAGGCCCCGCCCCAGCGCCGAGCCCACCCCTCTCCCCAGGTGCTGTCCCTGCCCCACCGGCGCCTGGTGTGCTGCTGCCAGCTCTACGAGGTCCCCGACCCCAACCGGCCCCAGCGCCTGGGGCTGCACCAGCGCGAGGTCTTCCTCTTCAACGACCTGCTGGTGGTGAGCCGGACACCTGGGTCCCCTGCGCAGCGAGGGGGTGTCCCTGGGGTGGGGGTCGGTCACCCGTGGGGAGTCGAGGGGTCTCCCAGATGCTTGGGTCCCCGGTGACCTGGTGGCCCCGGCAGGTGACGAAGATCTTCCAGAAGAAGAAGATCCTGGTGACCTACAGCTTCCGCCAGAGCTTCCCCCTCGTTGAGATGCACATGCAGCTCTTCCAGAACGCCTGTGAGCCCCGCGGCGCCCCACGGCACCCCGTGGCATGTCCCCCTGCCCCACAGCACCTCCGCGGGATGCTCCCCTGCCCCTACGTCCCCCGGGGTCCACCACCAGATGACCCTTTGCTCCATGGGATCCACCACGGCGTGTCCCCCACCGGATGTCCCGTGGTGTTCACCGTGGGATGTTTCATGGTGTCCCCCACAGGATGTCCCGTGGTGTCCCCCATGCGATGCTCCCCACCCCACGGTGTCCCCCGTAGGTTGTCCCATGGTGTCCCCTGTGGAATGTCCCATGGCGTCCCCCCTGGGATGTCCCCCTGCCCCATGGTGTCCCTCATTGGATGTCCCATGGTGTCCTCCATGGGATGTCCCATGGTGTCCCCCCGGGATGTCCCCCTGCCCCATGGTGTCCCCCATGGAATGTCCCCCTGCCCCATGGTGTCCCCCATTGGATGTCCCATGGTGTCCCCCCTGGAATGTCCCCCTGCCCCATGGCGTCCCCCATTGCATGTCCCATGGCGTCCCCCTGCCCCATGGTGTCCCCCATTGGATGTCCCATGGTGTCCCCCCTGGAATGTCCCCCTGCCCCATGGCGTCCCCATTGCATGTCCC